CTCTCTGCCACCAGCGTTTCCTACAGTGTTCCTGGGGGCAACTAGCAATCAGTGGGAATTTAGCAGGAAAAGAATCAGCAGACAGGCATTCCTCAGGCACGGAAGAGTCCCCGACTCTGCTGAGGAGCCTGGGGCTCAAAGAGTTTTTAGAGTCACTGCTTGGTGAAGTTTAAATACAATTTGTTAACTCATACATGCAACTGAGATTTATTGAGCACCTACTATGTGTCCAGCATGGTATTGGGCTCTGGTGATACACGGACGAATTAGGCAGCCCTGCTTGCAAGGCGTTCTCGAGGAGTTTGCAGTGACGCAGGTAAGAGACGTGCGCTCGAACACTGGAAGCAGAAACATATGGGCAGAATTCCTTAGCCAGCTACCAAGTACTGCCCAGTCAGCTGCCTGAGAAGAGAATGCATCTCACATGCTGTTCTGGTGTAGGCCACCATCTCACACCTGTGTCACTGAGACCAGAAAGATCTCCTGAGCTCCTGCCTACACCTCTGATTTTTGCTCCATGCTACAACTAAAGGGATAGCCTGACCCGTTCTAGTCCTCTAAAGGCCCCTCTCTGTCCTTACAATGAAGTCCAAACTCTTGAGCCAGCACCCCTCCTCACAGGCAGATTGTGGGTCTTGTCCTAGTGCAGAGCCAGGCCACGGGTGGGCATTCAATGTTTGTTAAGTGAATATATGAGGCTACAGTGCAGCCTTGTGACATCATAATGCAGATCCCCTGCCCAAGAGATGTTCTTGATCGGTTTGAAGGACACGCTCTCAACTGGATTTACTTTGAAATTCCTAGCAGTTTTTATGTGCTAGCAAGGGCTATGATTTTAACGGAGCTAAGGCTTTTTTAAAAATGTTATGCAAACATGACAATACACAGGTAGATATGACTGCTACCAAGTTGCTGTATCAGTTTGGTCCATAGCGTAAGTCCAGCCATATTTGGGACTGATGTAGGTGGGCAGTGAGGGCAACAGGACGAGGTCTGGTTTGGCCTTACTCTGTGACCTTGGCTAGGTTACCAAGCAGCTTTAAGCCTCATCTAAAAACGATCCCTGCCTAGTTGGCCTGATGAGGTCACTGTGAAGGCCAGATAAGCACTGGCTGAGAAACGGCTGCCCAAACCCTAAAGGGCTGTGCATATATAAGGGGTCATTGCAGTGACCAGAGAAGGCAGCTTCCCATTGTGGGAAGCCCCCATCACACTCCTCTCCTGAGAGTGGCTTGGAGGGTACACTGGGGTCATGTTTGTTGTTCTTATTCTTTTCCAAAGGGGGTCTGGGAGGTGAGACACAAGCCTTCTGTCCAGTTTATCCGCCTGCAGTCATCAGTCCCCACAAGCAGAGGCAGGAAGGGCCAGATGTTTTAGAAATCCTTACATGGGGAGGGATGCTGGATTTGGTAATCTCCAGCTTTCAGACCAGGGATCGTCTGTGATTCTTTTCCTTTCCATTGGCAGGAGTCCGTTTTAAACAATGACTAGGATTCTAGCAGAATTGGGCAACTTTTGGAAAATCTGTTTCTGGAAACTCCCAGGAAGCCAAGCCTTCAGGCAGAGTACTTTTTCTTCCCCAAAATAAAAGTGCAAAAGAAAAATAGTACTGTCCATTCATGCAAGAGGGTAACTAACCTAACCCCTCTTGGAAGTCACACGCCCCCTCCCAGCCCGAACTCCAGACCTAGGAGGCTATACATGCCCAAGAAAGAGGCATATCACAGCCTGGTACCTGCCAGCAGGTGCTTTGCCCAATGCCAACCTGCAAACATTTTTTTGTTATCGCCTCCCCCACCCCCCAGAAGTTAATTTGGGCCCAGGACATGGGTTCAACTGTCATTTGGTTCCTACTTTCTGAGTTTAGGCCTATAATGAGAGTCATTCATCCATCCGTTCACTCAATATTGAGAACTCTCTCTGTGCCAGGCTCTGTGCTAGGTATGCAGGTAGAGACATGAATGACACATAGCCCTTGTTCTCAAGTAGTTCACAGTTTATGGGCGGGAAACCATCAAGTAAACATAATTATAATGCAACGTGGAAACAGGATAGCAGAGTTCATGGGTTATTAGGAGATTGTACTGAATATTATGGGAATTGTATAAGACGGGTATTAGCTGGGCCTGGAGTGTTGGAGATAGTTCTCTTGAGGGTATGACTAAGTAGGAGTAAGGGGTGAGGGTGAAGTGCAGAGAGCATGAGAGGGGAAGGGCATTTAAGAGGGAACAGAATGAGCTGAGGCCTGGAGGTGATGGGGTCTGGCCAGGACCTGCAGCAGCTCACCAACACTGAATCCAAAAGTATAAAACTAGGATTGATGGGCAAGGAGGTGGCACAGGGACCAATCAGGGAGGACTGGGACCAATCAGGGAGGGCCAGGACCCAGGAACACTAAAGGAAAGAGGGGCGATAATGACACACAGTTCAATGAATATTCAAGTACCTTTTGGAGGCCAGCCTCCTGCTTAGTGCTGGCTCAGGCTCTTACTTTCAAAAACCACCTAAAATTCTCTTTCCACCTTGATGAAAAGAAAAGTTCTTTAGGCTGGTGAGCCAACATCTGGGGCACAGTTGGGGCTCAATCAATGATGATCATGGCCCCTCCCTGCCAGGGCGTTGTTACTGCCTATGCAATGTTCCCCAAAGACGCAGTGTCCCATCACAGGAACACTTATCTTTGTATCGTGAAAAATGACCCATCCCTGCATCACACTGCATTGTTCAAAGCCTTCTGTTCCCTCAGACCCTCCTCTTGATGGAGACGAAGGCTGATTCTCTTGGCTCTTTGCTTTGGAAAGAAAAGGGTTTTCAGTCTAAATTCACCCCATAGCAATTATGAAAAATAAATTGAAGTGTAAAAACAGGAGATGACTAGCAGATGGGACAAAATCAGGTGACGCCTGACTACTAGCACCCTGCTTGCAGGACAGAGAAGCAGACCCCGCTCCCTGGAATGTGAAATGACCACAGGCTTTCAAATCAAATCCCGGAGAAGGCAGCTCCCACCTCAAGTTCAAGGGCGTGCTCCCAAGCACTCATGAGCCCTCATTGGTTCCAAGGGGCCTCCATCAAGCTTCCAGACCTGCAGATGAGGACAGCTGGGGCAGGCTGGGGACTCCTGGAAGGGGCCTCAAGAAGTTAAAATAGAACATATTGGTTTTCTGTCTGGTTGTAAAAATATATGTTCATGATGGGAAACATGGCAAATGGTGAACAAAGAGAAAGAACAAGCAATCTAGAGTGCCACACCTTGACATCATATTCCTGATCATCCTCTGTATAAACTTTCCACTGGAGTATCAGCTCACAGGAGCAGTGACCACCTGTCCCAGGCTGTGCCCCTGGTACTTAGAAGAGGGTACCACACAGGGAGTCACCCAGGTCCTGTTTCCACTGACCCCTGCCCAGATGGTGGCTCCCAGCGGTGGCTCCCTCCATCCTTCCAGCTCAGCTCCAAGGCCAGTCCTCGGAGCCCTCTCCTGACCCCTATCCCCATCCCAGTTACTTATCCCAAGTTGATTTTCTCAACTCACTTGCATCTGTAATTATCTTGTTTCCTTGGTTGCTGGCTGTCCATCCACTCTGCCTCCAGGAATCTACCTGAGGGTAGACTCAGGGTCCTGCCTCAAGGGTGCAGGGTCTGCCCACCAGTGGGACTCCGTGGTTATTTGTTATGAGGGAGGAGTCATCCACCTGGGTCGCTTACAGTAGCATGAACACTGCCCATCTTTAAATGCTCAGTGAGCCCTGGCAGTTTTTTCCCCCTGAAATATCCCGTATATTTCAGGCTTAAGCTGCCGTGTGTGTGTGTGTGTGTGTGTGTGTGTGTGTGTGTGTGTGTGTGTGTGTGTGTGTGTCTGCGCAAACGCACTGGAAAGGGTCATAGTCCTGAGCTGGGGGCTGAGGACCCTAACTCATTCCTTAGCCTTGGGCAAATTCCAGAGACTCACTTTTTCCATGTTTGTAAAACCAATAAAGTACTCTGCCTGAGGTATGGCTGTGAGCTCCAAACAAGATAAGATCCTGGAACTCTCAAGAGTTAAAAGAACAGTAAAGAAACACACACACACACACACACACACACACACACACACACACACCACCTGAAAGGCCCACACTCATTTTCAGTAAAGCCTCCCAGGGCCACTTGGCGATTAGGTGGCCCAGGACTCCCGGGGTACCCCAGCTCCCAGGCACTGACTGGGCTGCTTCTTGCTCCTCCTCAAATCCTGGGACCATGTCTCATCTGGATACCCGTGGAAAAGGATCCCAATATCCAAACCCAGGAAAGAGGTCCTCCTTGCCGTGGCTCCCCAACCTGGAGACACAGGAGGGCCTCCCCCAAACCCATTTCCACACTCATTCGCCCCCTACCCAGGCCCTCGCCTCCCCCCCGAGGTGCCCTCAGCGGCGATGGGCACCGCTCAGCCCCTCCACCCCATAGGAGGCTGCCTCTCCGAATTATGAGGGGTCAGGGGACTTGCTTCGAAAGGTGTGTGTGTAGGAGAGGGTTGTCCCCAGGACAAGGTTGAGGGACGGCGCTGGGAATGGGGGACGGCAGGGGGCCCTCCCCTCCCGGACCAGGTCTGGGGACTCGCGGGCTCACCCCCGCCCCCGGTTGCGTCACTCGGCCCACCGCCCCTTGAGACATCACAATCTGAGTGCCGGGACCTCGCGCCTCATCATCACTGCCGGTTTGCAACCAAACAATCCACCTAACAAACACCCCGGAAAAAACACCGGCCTGAGCCCAGCCTCCCTCCCCGCCCCTCCCTTCGACCCCCAGGGCCCCCGCCCCCGGATGGGGGAGTAGGCGCGAGCCGGGCGCAGAGCACCCGTCGCCCC